GGGCTGGCCCTGTGGTTAGCAGCTAAAGGACATTAATCTACTGGCCACCAGCACGCCTCACAGCACAGGCTCCTGGGCCTCGTTCCCCGAGTTTCAGATTCAGGAGGTTTGAGGTTTGGCCTAAGGCTCTTTTGTTAAAAACAAGACAATTTTGGTGACCATTTTATGGTACGTTGGGTAAAAGAGGGCTCAAGAAATTGGTTTGAAAGGTTTCCACCCAATGGTTCAGACACACACTGTCTGTGACCTTGGCGGCAATCCCACATGCGCTGGCCTCTCTCCCCAACTCCGTTCTGGCTTCCGGCTCCTGTTCTGTTCTTCCGGCTCCCGGTCTAGTCCCACCTCCTCATCTTTGGGGTGGGGCCAAGGCTGCCCTTTCTGCCTCACGTGATGGTTCTGAGGACACTGCTCCTGATTCACTCTACAGGCCCCTCAACTTGAGAGTGGCTTCGTTCTGAGTCAGAAGCAACTGCTGGCAACACGTTTGAGTTTTTGGTCTGTTTCCGGCCAGAAAGAAGGTTGTCTTAGGGCTAGCGGCCTTGAGGAAAGGTTGAGAGATGCAAAACTGGCCCTTTGTTTTTGTTTAAATGTGTTAGTTACTTCACCCATTCTAACTGGCACCTTCTGTGTGGTCCTGGTTAAAGTGGTCGGTAGTGGAGGCTGGCACCATCCAGCTCCTTGGGTCTCAGGACAGAGGGAGTTGTGGCTCCAGAGGGAAAGAGACCAATCGCTGCTTCTTAGATGGCGGCTGGCTCACACGCTTTAAAGACCCTGAATGCTACTCACCAGACTGAACTGTCTTTATACTTTATGTTGTTGCCCACGGACCTGCATCCCATGACTAACACACTCCCTCCAGGTGATGCTGACCTAGAAACACCTGGCAGCCCTTCTTCATCTCCACCCCAGCTCCCTGCCCACACCCTCTCCCCTTGGCCTGCTCTGAGCTGCATCAACGGCCACTCACTTCTGTCTTAACGACGATTATTCCTTAGCAGTGTAAGGAGAGGGCTGGTGGCACAGCAGGTTAAGCATGGGGCTGCTGAGAGGGCAGTGGTTGGAACTCACCAGAAGCTCCTTGGGAGAAAGGTGAGGCAGTCTGCCATCACCAGGAAGGACAGCCTTGGAAACCGCTCACAGGTGCGGTTCTACGCTGTCCTACAGGGTCCTAGGAGTTTCCCGGACTCACTGTATTACTATGTGTTCCTATGTTATACCTGTCTCAGATATACATCTGTACAACCTTTGTTATGCAATTACTGGGTTAAAAGGGTTACTGGGTTAACATCCAGGGAGTAGGCACTTAGCACCTGCTCTCTGGCCAATCCAGGTGCAACTATTGGCCTCTCCCTGCCCAGAGCACCAAAGAGGGAAGAAAATCAAAGACCCGGGAAACAATTAGTCCTAAGGACGGATGGATCATGAGAGCCCCAGCTACCATGAGCCTGAGACCAGAAGGACTAGATGGTGCCCGGCTCCCTGGACTGGAAGCTCCGAGAGGGATCTCGAGAGAAGGCTCTGAACAGGGCTGAGGGAACTGTGAGCATGAGAAACTAAGCAAGCCGGGCTTACTAGTCTGCTGGAGTCTGAGGAAGCCCCCAGATTTGGGCCTTCAGTCACCCTTTAGGCCTAGAACTGGCTCAACATTTGGCCAGACACGTCTTCGAACCATCCTCTAAGATCCCTGAGCACGTGCTCAGGGCCCAGAAGGCAGGCAGGGGCAGCAAAGAAGGGCAGGTGGAGACGGGAAACCCAGGGGGCCGTGGATGGGAAGAGGGCTGTGGCACTGTGAGGTTGCCACCAACGTCCGGAGACACAAGGTGTGGGAATAGTTGACTGGCAAACCAATGTGCTCCTTTTCCTTCAACCCACCACCCCAAGCCAGCCAACAAAGCAGCTGCTCTAGAGAGATGTAGGCACAGTCTGAAGAGGGCTGCTGTCAACAGTCGCCCGCCACGCAGCACCCCTGGCCCCATCTCTGCGCCCACACATCCCTACCTGTCTCCTGCGTCTCATCGCATTCAGCGGACAGGCTCTCATTGACATAGATGCTTCCATTTCGGATCAGCCACACCACCCCGCTCAGCAGCTGCACAAACGGATTCCTGGTGTCCAGCACCTCCTCCTCAGACAGGTACCTGAGCATGGGGAAGGTGGGACACTCACTGGCCAGCAGGGGCAGCTGTGGTCGTGGGGACTTCCCCACCCTGCTCAGCTCGGGACTCCTCCTGGAGCCCCAGGAACCTGTCTGCTTGGAACTAGGCAGACAGGACGGAAGCCAGGCCCAGGGCCCTGCCCCACCCAGTCCCCCTTGGTAAACTCTCCAGTACTTCCCAGTCTGCACTTCATCTAATCCCAAGCCAGCCCCACACATCTCAAAAGTCCACCCATTGCCCTCCATCTCCCCGGCCAAACCACCACCTGAAACCTATCACAAACCAAACCAAACTCACTGCCGTCATGCTGACTCACAGCCACCCTCTAGGGCAGCCTAAGACATTAGTCTTTGTTGAAGGAGCTGCCCCTGTGGGTTTCTAAGACTCTAACCCAGTCATGGAGCCAACGCTGACGCACTGACTGTAACTCTTTGCAGGAGTAGAAAGCTCCTGCTTTCTCCCTTGGAGCAGTGGGAGTTTCAAACTGTTAACCTTGCGTTTCGCAGCCAATGCATCACACTACTCCACCACCAGGGCTCCTAACACAAGCTTTGAAACACCCGCAGTCCCTGAGTTAGGGGTGTTTGGCAGGAGGACAACTCTGGCTCCCGCTGGCCCTTGAGTGTTACATCAATTTACCCTCCCTTCCTTTGAAAAGGCTGGACCTGCTCTTCCAAAAAACACGAAGCCAAACCCACGGCCAGCCCGACTCATGGCACCCCTATGGGACATAGCGAAATTGAGTCTCCAAGGCTGTGAGTGTTTATGGAAGCAGACAGCCTCAGTTTTCCCCTGTGGGACAGTTGGTGGGTTAGAACCACTGGCCTTGATGTTACCAGCCCAACTCATAACCCAAGACACCACCAGGAGTCTTTTCTGGCACTAAAACCAACCTCACCGGTGTCCAGTCTGTGGGATTACATAGATACTTTTCCCCAGCTTTGTCTCCCCCAAAGATATGCCAAACATTAGAGGCTGTTTACCAGCACATGTGGGAGGTCAGATGCTTAGAGACATCCTCCCTGAAGGCCTCTGGTCCACTGTAGGTGGGGTTCACACCCTACTGATAATGGTTTCTACGGTGAGCCAGAGAACAGGTCAAACCTGCTCAGTGACATCCAAAGTTAGGCTGCCATCCTGAGTCTAGGATCTGCCCATCTTGTCACATGTGTGGCCCTAATCACTCCTCTTCCTATTGCGTGGATACCCCTAGATTGTCCCCTTCTCATTGCTGTATAACCTATAGTGCCACTCCCTTCCTGTGACATGTCTTTACCTGTAATTAGTGGGCTTGCACGCCCCCCAAAGATATATACGCCTTGGTTAGCAATAAATATCCTCTCGGGCTCCCTCTTCTCTCCCCTCGGCTCTTCCCATCCTCTCTCCCCATCCTCACTTCCCTATTCCCTTTCCCCTTGTCCTCCTTCCCCTCCCCCTCTCTCCTGCCCTCTGGTCTCCCTTCTCCACGTGGACCATGAGTGGGGCTAAGGTGGGCATGTTACCATGAAATGTGTCTGACTGCATAATCTCAATCTCTTCTCTCTCTCATGCTCTCTACGACTACATTACAATCTCTCTCTCTATTTCAATCGTACAATTGAGCCTATCGAACCCACGATTAGTTTTGGGGGGCTGGCCTTTCCCCCATACCAGTCAATGCTGACTCCTAGAGACCCCACAAGACTGGGTAGAACTGCCCCTCAGGTTTCTGAGACTGTAACTCTTTACAGGAGTGCAGAGCCTCCTCTTTCTCCCAAGGCGTGGCTGGTGGTTTTGAACTGTTAAATCTTGTACTTAGCAGCCTAACTCATACTCCAGAGTCACCAAGACTCTGCTCACACTAAACTCACTGCCATCGAGCCTGTGCCAATGCACAGCAACCCTACAGGGCAGGGTAGAACTGCTCCCCATGAGTTTCCGAGACGGTAACTCATTACGGAAGTAGAAAGCCCCGACTTTCTCCCTCAAAGTTGCTGGTTTCAAACTGCCGACCTTGGGGACCACAGCCCACCACAGCACCACTAAGCCACCAGGCTCCCTTCTTACACCGCAGTAAGGCTAACCAGGAGCCATGTTTCCTGTTCTGGCTAAAATTCCACCTAAAGACAATGGTATGAGAGCACTACACTGAAATGTCAAAAACAAACAAGCAAACAAAAACAACAGTTTCCAGTGAAAGAAACATTCTTTGATGGCTGCCAGGGTGGGAGGTAAGTGCAGCGGTTATGCACTGGGCATCGATCTGCAAGGTTGGCAGTCTGAAACCACCACCAGCTCCTAGGGAGAAAGACGAAGCTTTCTACCTTCACAGTCTCGGAAACCCACGGGGGCAGTTCTACCCTGCCCTATAGGCTCACGAGGAGTCTGTAATGACTCCATGGCAGTTTGGCTCTGTGTGGGAGGTGACCATCAAGAATGTTTCTTTTAGTGGGAGGGGAGTCCTGGTAGTGTAGGTAAGGCTGCTAACCCCAAGGTCAGCAGTTCGTAACCACCAGACACTTCCAGGAAAAAAATGAGTTAGTCTTGGACACCCACAGCGGCAGTGTGACCCTATGAATCGGAATGAACTCAGTGGCAGTGGACTTGTTATTTGTTATTTGTTTTTAGGGGGGGGGGGGCGTTATATACGGGCTAGAGTGTAGACACATGGTAGCTTAGGTGAAGGGGAAGGCACTATACAATAATAGGTAGGTTAGAAAAATACAAAGACGTGAAGACCCAGGTAGGC